CGTGCCTTTCCTTGGGTTGCCTGTAACTCTTATTTTCTGGGTTAATAAAATATTTATTCATTGATAAAAAAATAAAATCATCAAATACAATACAAATATTAAAATCATCACATTTAAATATGAAATTGAATTATGACACTCCATTATTATTTAAGTGTCATCAACCATTAGTACATCACTTGCAAAGTTGCAAATCACAATTTCAGAATTAGTAATTCACATAAATTGCATAATTGTCTCATCTCATATTCAAATATTCAAATGAATGTAAGAAGTTAATAGCAAGCATTTAGCAATTTTAGGTGAAGCATAAATTACAAGTACTAAGTACTAACCACTAACCTTACTAATATTTGAAGATAAAGAAGGGACAGAATCCTCTGTTGCTGACTTTCTGTGGCAGAAGCAGCAGTGGTGGCAGAAGAAGCAGAGGGGGGAACCACTATGTTTTGAAAGTAAATGTAGCAGAGGCAGCAGCAGTTGCTGCAGAAGAAGCTTATCTGAGAATGAGAAACTTTGATATACTTGAAGTTTCAAGCAAATAAAAGCCTTGATGTAAACTTTATATAATACATACTATAATAATATATAAGTTGGGTCTTTATGAGGCATATGGAGTGGATGTCATTCTTGATTCTCCATGAAAGAAGAAGAAATTTTGGTGTACTTGATGTATGGAGCAAATAAAAGCTTCAATATAAACTTTATATATTATATATGACAATAATATACAAGTTGGGCCTTGATGAGTCTTATTCCTCTTGTATAGAATGCAAGAAAAGTGTGCACTTAATACGAGGCATATGCTAGTCTACATTGAAGAAGAAGAAGCTTTGGTGTAATTTATCAAAAAAAAAAAAGAAGAAGCTTTGGTGCACTCAATGTATTGAGTAAATAAAAGCCTGGATATAAACTTTATATATTATATATGTTATAATAAATATAAGTTGGGCCTTTATAAGGTGTATGCCCCGAGTTTGTGAGCATTTCTCTTTTGTGCCTAAGAGCATTTTTTTGAAGATCAATAAAGAAAAAAAATTATTCAATCAGGCAGAAAATGCAATGATTTGGTGACAAGAAGTCATCCCAACTCTTACAAAACAGAAGCAGAGAAAAAGCAAAATTACAACTAGAGTTATACATTCAAAGTGTTCTAGAAGTTGTCTCCAAAGTTTCCTTTGCTTAAACCTCTGAATTCTGGCAGAACTAAGACCCACCCTACAATCCTTAAATTGGTGACTGTCCCTAACTCTCTATTGCTTCTCAATTTGCCTTCAAAAAATTCTCTTATTTCTTTCTTTCCAGACATCCCAACATACTGCAAATGGAACACAGCTCAAAATGATTTTTGTTTTGATGCTTCCATATCCTAGGCCCAAATACTCCTAATGTAACTGCAGCGTACGAGAAGGTGAAGAATAGACTCCTCTTTAGACAAACAAAGTGGGCATCTACTTGGAAATTGATGGCCTTTCTTTTTCAGATTGTCTTGAGTCAGGATACTTCCCATTGAAATGAGCCAAGCAAAAGCTTTCCCCCAAACTCCTTTAACTGAATCAGACTCCCTGATTTCTGGACAAAGCATTGTACAGAGATTCAACAGTAAATCTTCCATTTTTATTTTCTTTCCACTGTTTATCATCTGGAAATGAAGGACATACTTCCACTTCTTGAAGCTTCGCCAACAGCCCCATACATTCCTCTATTTCCCAATCCAACAAAGGTCTTCTGAATTTAGGACACCACACCACTGCCCCATTGTGGAATTCATAGCATTGAGAAATAGGTATACCCTTCTTGCTTAGACTGTAAAGCCTAGGACATAACTCACACAGCTTTCCAACCCCAATCCAGCCATCCTCCCAAAATCTCACACTTGAACCATTCCCCACCTTCCAATTTAAAAAAGGGAAAATTCCCGATAGGTACTCTATACTTTAGGTCGAGTGTCAATTTAGTACTCGAACTTTAAATTGCGACAATCTAGTACCCGAACTTTCGAAACGCGACAATTTAGTACCTAACGTTAATGGACCGTCAGTCATATATTTCACGTGACCTCATGTGCGATTTAATATTTTTGAAAATGTCAAAATTACCCTTAAAATAAAACACTGTTTATTATCTTCTTTCTCACGAAAATAAAACAGATCCCAAGCTCTAACAGTCCGGACAAAAACTCAAGAGCCTGTTCGCCTCTCGCTATCCTCCAAGAGCCCAAAATAAAGGAAGCAAAAAACCCAAACTTCTATTAGAGTCCGGATCTGCTACACTGTATGTAGATGATATATTCCACTTTGACCACATGGAAGAACCGCCCATCATGGGATCTGAGGGTCAAAGCTCCTATTCTTCTTCTACCTCCTGCACCACCTCTTCTTCTTTCTCTTCTTCTCACACTGCGAGCAAAGAATTCTCCATGATCTCATATTTGGCGAGATGCCACACAGAGTTAAAAGCAGGGCAGAACTAATCAAGCACGAATCGTTTTCCTTTGGGAGCCCTTGATTCAGCGGAGGCCCTACAATTTGATCTGGGATTGTACCGGAAGACTGAAAGGTAACAACAGTTCGTCTCGATTTCTGCTGTTGTTGCATATCGGTGGTGGAGATAGATAATCTTTAATTTTTTTCTCCTTTGTTTTTTAGAGTGAGACTGAAGATTGTTTTGTTGGCTGGGATCGATCCGTAAGAGTTGAGTTAATTCTTTTGGTTTGGCTTGGGAGTTCTGGGCAAAGGTGGGTGCATGTACAATGGTAGAAGAGATTTCAAGGATGATTTGGATTTATTGGACTGCTTTGTAATTGTATTTTGAAGTATAGATAGATTCTGAGATTTATTGGAATCAATAAATTGGTCTGCATCGGGACTTTGGTGGAAGTTTGTTAAGTTGGATCTTTATTTGGTGGTGATTCGGGAGTTGATTCTGTTCTGTGTAGAAAAGGCTTGAGAATTTTGAATGAGAGAGGATTCTGGAAGAAAAGGGAAATGAAAGATAAACTTGTGGTTTTGGAGGGACAATGACTGGAGGGTCATTGGGTCTACGTATAGGGAGTTATGGATCATTGCAACAACTTCAGAACAGTGTTGTGCTGCCGGTTTAGACTACACCCATCCTTGTTCGCAAGCCCCTGAAGATGCTCCTGTCTGGGTCTAGAGAGAAGGAAAAGTTTCTTCACCGGATCTGCAAATTTGCTGGTATGAGGGTTGGAATGCTGCTTCTGGTGGTCATTTCTGGTGTGGTTTTTATGTATGTTTTATCTGTGGTCAGCAAAGGTTTGGCTTCGACTTGCCCGACCTATTATTGGACCTTAGTAGTAATCAAATCAACAGGTTTGGCTTCTGTTCGCCTTTGCTTTTGTCGGGAGAAGCCGAAAGACCGGTCGAAGGACATGATCATAAGCGGCGGTGAGAACCTGAGCAGCGTGGAGGTGGAATCAGTGCTATACACAAATCCAACCGTGAAGGAAGTGGCAGTGGTAGCTTAGCCGGACGAGTTCTGGGGTGAGACTCCATGTGCTTTTATAAGCTCGAAACCTCAGATGCCAAGGCCGTCGGAGAAGGAGACCATAGAATATTGCCGTGGTCGGTTGCCACACTACATGGTTCCCAAGACGGTGGTGTTTAGAGACGAACTTCCCAAGACACCAGGAAAAATTCAGAAGTTTCTTCTTAGGGAGACATGGATGTGTTAAAAGGATTGGATTCGTTGCAGGAGTGATCATGTGTGAATATTGGTTTTGATTTTATGGATAGGTTGATAAAGAAAATTAGATGATATTTCAAGGGTAGTTTTGTCTTTTCACGTGCCATTTAACGACTAGTTAGCGGCAGGTACTAGATTGTCGCGTTTTGAAAGTTCGGGTACTAGATTGTTGCGTTTTAAAGTACGGGTACTAAATTGGCACTCGGCCTGGAGTACAGGGTACCTATTGGGAATTTTCCCTTTAAAAACGGTTGAATCAAAGAGTTAAACTTCATGATTCCTTTCCAGACACTCACCCCATACGTAGATAGGATTTACCTCACATCCCACCCAAAATTCACCACTCCATATTCGCAAGCCACCACCCTTCTCCATTGTGCTTCCCTCTCTCTACCAAACCGCCAAACTCATTTCCCCAACAAGGCCTTATTAAAAGTTCCCACCCTTCTCACTCCCAAACCCCCATCCCTCTTGGCCCTACAAACCAGGTCCCAACTCACCAAATGATAATTTCTTTCTCTCCACCTTTAGATTCCAGAGAAAATCTCTCAGTAACTTTTCAATTTCTTCTTGCACCAAAGCTGGAGCCTTCAGCAAGGACAAGCAGTAAATGGGTACATTATGTGGAACTGTACTTCCCACACCTTTTAAAATATTGATGCATTCTAACAGAAAGCTTTTTTGAGGGGTTAACCTTTTATTTAGAAGAATTCCATCTTATTTTGAAGATAATATATTAGTGTCCTCCTTAGACTCTCTTATCTATTATGTGTGCTGATCAAGAGAACTATCCTTGTTTTAAAAGATTGCTTTGTGGTTATCTTAGTTGGGATATGTTTTTTTTTCTGAGTTCAAGGAACTAATTGAAAATATCCCCTTGATTGGCCATCTCCTCATATGTGGTTTTTATGAACTGAGTTGATATACCCTAGATCCACTTAGAGGAATAGTGTTGAGATCATATTAGGAATCAAGAGAAAAGAACCAGATAGTTGAGCAGGGGACTATCGATTATCTGTGGAAATTGGAGTACTGGACATGATTTTCTTTTTCCTGATGCCAGTGGCTTGAGTTTCTTTATGCTGATTCTTACAATTTATATTATTTTCTTTTCTTCTCTCATTTTTTTTATTCTTAAACCTATTTATTCTAATTATTCTTAATCCTATTACTTGGTAATATCTCCAATCTCCCTTAGATTTGAAGGTTTTGACATCTTGTAAATTCTGCATGCTAGTTTAGTCTAAGCATTGAGTAATGCGTATCTAATTCCTGACTTATAATACTTTCTGCAGGTTTTTGACCCAAAGAATGGAGGTACCTTTCATTTTTCTTCACCTTATTTTACCAACTCTTACTGATGTTATTAATGCTGTCTCTGTAAATTTTTTGAATTCTTGAGGTGAAAAATATAAAAACAGTCAGCCTTGCAATCTATTCAGGTTAAGTTGACATAATGATTTTATTGTGTGATTTGTGTCCTTTAAAGATTCTACCTGGTTTTGATAATCTTGAATATCAAGAATTGCCACATATTACAAATAAAAGACCAGAAAGAACCTCTAGTGATTTTTGACTGCATGAGGGAAGTGTGGTACTGTGGTGTGGCTTCCAGAATTTGGAATGAATTTAGATGACTATGGGATGGACGCAATGGCGGAAATGTTACATATTAAAGCAGGAAAGTTCACAGTCAAATCATTCTACAATGCTTTGATCAGTACAGACGAGCAGCTAGTCCCTGCCAACATCATTCAGTAAAAGAATGTGCCTTCAAAAATTGCTTTTTTTTTTTTTGTTTGGACTGCTTGCCTAAACAGAATCATAACCATGGACAGCCTCTTGTGGAAGGGTCTGCTACTGGACTCATCAGATTGTGTTTTATGTGAAGGACACCTGAAATATGTGAATCACTGCATTGCAGCTTTTCTTATGAAATTTGGTCCAGAATTTTACAACCTTTTGAGGGCAAAGCTGCTATCCAAGCTCAGTAGCGGAGTTTATAATAGGTTGGAGGGTGAAGGCCTGAACAAAAGAGGAAAACTGATCTGAAATATAGTCCCAGTGGTGGTGTTTTGGTGCATATGGCAGGAGAGACACAAGGATTTTTTAAATCAAGATTAGCCTTACAGATGTTATTTTTCAGAAAATTTTGGGAAAGATGTTTTCATGGCTCTCTTGTCCTAAGATTTTCAAGAATATAGGCTTCAACTCCTTTTTTGTACATGGGAATTTTTTGTAAAGCAGGGTGGAGGGTATAGTGATGCCAGGGCAGTTTTTTGATCAGTCCCTATATACCTCATCAGATTGTACATGCTTTTTGTACTGGCGTGGCTAGTTGCATTATCCATTGGAGGGATGGTTTAATTATTCTAGTTTTGTGATGTATGCTTTGGTATACAAGGGATGGATTTTTGGGGTTATTTGTGGCATATTTCTATCCATGTATTCTCCATTTATTCCTTCCTTTCTTTTTATGTGGTTTTGTGTGTTTTACATGTAGAAATACATACATAAGTATGCATATGCATACATGCATTCATCTGAATGAATCAACTTGGAGTTAAATAAGATTAGCTTAATTTATGTGAGTTTCAACTGAATCAATGAGCTTTATCAAACTTGGCCATTCTTTACATGGATTGGTTTGCTTCATTATTTTTTCTGTGCATCTGCAGGTAGGTTGGATTACTCAATTAGGAATGATTAAACTGCCATTTGGGATTCCTAGCTACAGTACAACAGTACAAGGTCAAATACCCAATGATTGCAGCCGTGGAGCAATAATTTCATCAGAGGTTCTCCATATTAAAGAATGTTTTGATTTTTATATGTAACATATGCATGCTAGGATAAGCTTCAAGAAGTATTTAAAGAATATCCATCATGGGTGCCATTCATTTCTATAAACTAGTGGACATTTTCTTGCCAGAACTACATTAATTTGTTATTAAGAACTTCATTCAAGCCCATTGGTTAGTTTCTAAAGTTGTTATTCGGAACTGCATAAAGAAAGTAGCAAAGGATGTTTTAGGAGAATCTAAAAGGAAATGGAAAAGTGCTGAATAAACTTGGTGGTGGAACAAGATGTTCAAAATATAATTAGTTTAAATGAGCATGTTATAAATACTGGCAAGAATCTAAAAATAGAGAAAACTTGGAAAAATATTATACCATAAGAAAGTTAAAAAGAATGAAAGTGAAGTTAAATTTAAGGCATTCAGTGATCCAAACCCATGATTGTAAGTTAACGGAAACATAAGGCAAGGCAGCAAGGCTGCCCAGGGACTTTTGGGGTGCTGGGCACTTACATTATTTTATATAACTGCATTTTTTATCATCAATCAGTAAGCTGCCAAGTTACCAATAAAAAAAACCATCACCATTTTGGCCTTCTTTTTCCTTGTATAAAATTTCATTAAGGATTCTATTCATACCTAAGGTGCATTTCTCACGTTTGGAATCTATTATCAGATATGCTTATCTATATGTTGAAGAAACGCTGATAGATTATCCTTACTTTATGGGGTGTTTAAACTGAATTTGACTCTTTTTTTTTTCTCTCCAGGTACAGCTTGGCAATCAAACCAAGCATGAAGATTTAAGTGATGATAATTTACACATACACAAGTTTCAAATTGGTGAGAATGTCTCAAAGAAGGATAAGATTAAGTTCCTTGTTAACACAGTAAGTGTGAATTCTGAAGTTTTTCCTTTGAATTGGTAAATTGTGAAGTTTCTTATTTCTTCCTTCTTTAAATATAAGGTGTAAATTGTATGAAGGCCATTACCCACTATTGGTCCCATTTATCTGGGATCTTGGGACTGGATTCAGACCTAACCTTTGGCTTTTTGCATAGAGTGGCCACTCTCAGACTTGGACATGCATTCTCACGCTTGTCAGCCTGAGGTTTACCATTCCATCAAGCAATGACCCCCGAGGCGTAAATTGTATATGTAAATTATTTTCAGAAGCTGAGGTTGATGAACTTATTCAGATCTCAATGCATACAAAATGGAAGGACTCCTTTTATAAATATTGATAAAAAAAGTCTTTGTATAAACTTTTGGAATTGTAAAAGAAAGACATAATGTGTGGATAGACTAAAAAAAACCATAAAATGTTTCATAACAGTGAACAAAGTAAATTACTATGCTCTTACTAATAAAATGTATACTATAATTAACCAAGTTGTTGCTCCAAATAGTTAATTTGTATCACTTTAAATCTAAAACCATAAGCATTCTCCATAAATGATGCCTTACATTACAAATGGAGATGCAGCTTCTTTTGCTTTCCATTAACGTAGATCTCAATGTATATAAAATGGAAGAACTATTTGTGTAAACATTGATAAAAAAAAAGGAAATGTTTGTGTAAACAAAATAAATACATAATGTATGACTTTAGGAAAAAGCCAGAAAATGTTTCATAGAGTGAATCCAGTAACAATCTCTACTCATAACTTTGGTTCAGAAAAAAACCCTTAAAAATAATGATTATGGCATGTTCAGCATATATTTTGAAGGTTAATCCCCATATTTTATTCTTGGTTTGTTGGCAAAGTTTAATTTGATAAGTAACAATGTAAGGTATTGTGTATCAATTGTATGTTGTAACTAAAAAAAATATTGCATGTTGCAAGTTGTAACTGCACGATCCATATCCAAGTTTCTGACAATGATAACCTGAATTGTCAAATTTGACTGCAATAAATAGAATGCAAGAGATATCGAAGATCTCCAGCCCATATGATTCTCATCCACCAGTTCCAAGGGTCATGTCCTTGGCTTGTTTACAAGTGGATTGTGTATTTTGTTTCATTTTTGGTATTTACTGTAATGCGTCACAATTCAAAATTTCAGATTGGAAAACAAAGGCCTTATTCTTTGGGCATGGGGATCATTATCCCCACAGATCACTTTTGTTTTGTTTTGTTTTTTTTTTTTTTTTACTCTTATCGCACTCTATAATATACATGTTTGCCATATGTGGCTCTTTATATCCTTATGCCCATATATGGTGCTTAAAAAGCAAAATGCATAGATTAAAAAGGGAAATAAAAACCAAAGTCAGCCTAATGCAAAAATATATTTATTGAAAAATGACATCTTCTGCATCATCTGATAATAGGTTTTTCAAATATTTTTGGAGCTGATGTTAGATATAAATATTATTATTACATGTTTTTTCTGATAGGCTCTTCTATTTGTTAGAGGAAGCATTTTAACTGATGTATGATTTTGTTTCCGAAAAGTGTCTCTAGATGCTAGTTTTGGGTATGATGTTCCATTGATCGACAAACCCTCTCTTGATAGAGATTTGGTCTGAAAAGATTTTTCTATAATTGATGAAGAGATCCTTTTTTTTTATAAAGAGAAAATAAATTAGTGAACTAAAATACATCCTTACGGACTGTGTTTTGTTTTAATCATTTGAAACCCGCTTTTTTGGGGGGTCTTGATAATTTTACTTTTACATCTTTCTTTTTCTCAATAAATATTCAATTACCAAACCCAAAAATGTTGCATCAATTAACAGATAATTTGTTAGTGGTACATTTTTATTGGATATGTATAATTTCAATGTATCTGTATATACTCTATTGACTTGAGGTGTTAGTGGTTTGAATCCAATATCTACCCACATTTCTGTTTCTATTGCTGGTCTCATTAGTATATTTTATTGAGAAACCCCAAAATATTGCAGCTTTCTGACCTCAAGGATTCTAAAGAAGCAATTTATGGTGCTCTTGATGCATGGGTTGCATGGGAGCGAAACTTTCCTATTGCATCACTTAAACAAGTACTATTGGCTCTTGAAAAGGAGCAACAGTGGCATAGAGTCATTCAGGTACTTGGCATTTCTCTTTGTAGTTCTCCACTGCATGTCTGTTACTTGAATACTTTTTTTTTGATAAATGAATAATGATTCTACTAATGGTAAGAAAGGAAGTGTACATTCACCCTAAGAGGAGGCATGAGGTGTTACCTCCCCTGGAGGTGAGAGCATAAACAAACTTTTAACAGAATACAATCATAGAGTAGCAGAAAATAATTCAACCCTTGAGACCCCTTGTTTTTCCAAAGAACCAGCCCTGGCATTTGCCGATCTGCTGACCCACTGATAGGTGACTAACATATTCCTTGTGAGCCAATTAACTTTCTTAAGAAGATCCCTATAGCCCCATAGAACTGTTTCTGGACTCGACAACCAACCCACTACCACCTTAGAATCTCCCTCAACTATCAGATTTTCCACTCCTAGTTGGTTTGCAACCTGTATTCCTTGCACCGCAACCAGTATCTCAGCCCTTGTTGAATTGCCAACTCGCACTGGTCTTGAAAATAGGGATAGGATGTTTCTATCCTTATCTTTTAAGATCCCTCCTATACCCGAAGGCCCTAGGTTGCCTAGACCGCTTCCATCAAAGTTCTACTTTACCACACCCTCTCTAGGAGGTCTCCACTCTATCTGTAACCTATTCTTTTTGGGAGCTGTGGAGGCCACCTCTGCCCAACTTTTCTAGAGATCATCAAAAGAATAACCTCTGAACAAATCTGAAGTTTTTAGCCAATGAATTGTTCTTGTCAAAATGCACTTCTTTACTTTATCGATACTTCTTTTCTTTCTTTGAATATTCTAAAATTCCTTTCCTCCCAAATAATCCGCAAAATGGTTGCTCTGATGTACTTCCACATTAGTTTCCCTCTCCTTGTTGGCTGCCCAAAAGTAGATGGATCAAAAAGCAAGTTTACTTCAGAGGGCAAGATCCGCTTGCACCTAAACAACATAAAGGCCCAATTCCAAATATTATCAGCAAAAGCACAAGAAAATAGCAAATGGTGGTAATCCTCATTACGAGCTTTACACAAAATACACCAGTTTGGGGATATACAAGGAAATGGTCTCTTCTTTTATAGGTTATATCCATAGTATTGATCTTACCATAAAAGGCTTCCCAGTAGAAAACAACTACTTTAGGGGGAATGGGCCTTGACCAGATTTCTTTGACAGGGAACTCCAAAGAGAGAGGGGCATAGCAGAGGGACTTGAGATAAGAAGCAAAAGTAAAGGAACCATTAGGAGTTAGAGTCCAAATTCTTCTATCGGGTTTAGAGAGGTCCAAACAAACAAAGTCCAAAAGAAGCAAAAGCTCAGAGACACAAGCAGATTCCCCATCCCTTAAACCTCTATGAAACCTAAAATTCCAATTCAAAGTCAAGGGGAGAACTGGGGGAGAAAGACATCTTGAAACGTGGTCCTTTTTAAAGAGGGAGATAGAGTACAAGGAGGGGAAGCGATCTTTTAGAGGTCGAGAGCCCACTCAAATATCTTCCCAGAAAAGAACAAAATTACCAGAGTAGACATCATACCTTACATACCTGAGGAAATTAGGGAGGGTGCTTGAAATGGCCTTCCAAGGGGTTGTGAGTGAAGCCCATCAAGATACCCTTGCATCCCAACCAGTCTCAGAACAGCCATGAATGCTAGCCACTACCTCATGCCATAACCTCTCTCTTTCCAAGGGCCACCTCCAAAGCCACTTACCTATAAGAGCTTCGTTCTTCCTAGCTATCTGTCCTAGCCCTAACCCCCCTTCTTTTTTAATTCGGCTCACTACTTCCCAGCTGATCAAATGATCCTTTTTTTTCCTTCCACTGGCTCCCATAGGAAGTCCCTCATCAATTTTTCAATCCTCTTAGCTTCCCTGTTAGGTATCCTAAATGCTGACAGAAAGTAGATTGGCAGATTGGCAAGTGTAGCTTTTATTAAAGTCACTCTGCCCCCTAAAGAAATGTAGTTCCTCCTTCAAGCCGCCAATCTTTTCTCAAACTTTTCCCCCACGGGGTTCAAAAATCGACTTTGATCTATACCAGTTTGTTATTAAGTCCCTCTCCCCCCCCATCCAATATTTGTTTGCATGTTTCCATTACATGCAATGGGTAACTCTAAGACACAAGCAACTACATCATCTGTCATAATGTATGATTATGCATGATTTTAGTCCTAGAGTCATTTAAAGAGCTTTTTTAGGCATAAAAACTGGTTAAGGTGAAGGTTACATCTAACCTGGGGTTACTTTATGGATAGTTTCAAGCATCAATTGAAGCTGGAGGCCCTGCATCCAGGTAAGCAAATGCCTGGAGATGTGATTCAGTCCAATAAAATCAGAAAATAAATCTCAGATTATAGAGAGAAAAGAGAGAGAAATAGAAGAGAAACAGTAGTGAAGAAGAGGAAGAAGATGAAGAAGGGAGAAGGAAAAGATGCTTCAATGTTTCTCTCCTTACTCGACTAATCTTTTATTAATCTAATCTTGATAGAAACAATTATAATACTGCCCTTAATGGGGTGGCCAGCTCATAAACATGACTTAAAAGAAGTAAAAAGATGATTAATAGGCCCATAAGGACAAGGCCCATTAACAAGCATAACAAATAAGAGAAGATAAAGAACACAATAAGGCACTAGGGCCCATTCGGCCCAATCTCTCTACACCTGGTTTTGCAAAGTGACCTCCTTAAACATTTGTCATGTCTCGAGTGTTGGAAGTTGAAGGACAAGGTATGTAAATTCCATTACCCGTCAATTTTTAAAATCCTAGTAGGTGTAGCTAGGACTTCGGAAAAAGTGATGAGGGACTTTCTATGGGAGCCAGGGGAGGAGAAAAAGGATCATAGGGTGAGATGGGATTTGGTGACTACAAGTAAAAATTTTGGAGGGTTGGGTATTGGAAACATCCAGAAAAGAAATGTGGCTCTTTTAGGAAAATGGTTGTGGAGGCTTCCTTTGGAGAAGAACAACCTATGGGCCAAGGTAATTGTCAATATTCATGGGCTTGTGGCAAATGACTGGGATGCTAGAATATTGGCTAGGGGCTACGAGAGCCTCCCCCTGGAAGGCAATTCAAGCTATCCTACCTTTGTTCTTGCCTTGGATCAGGTATGATTTGTGTTCTGGTGATCATATTAAATCCTGGGAACATCATGGTTGGGGACTCCCCTCTGAAAGATCAATTTCCTTCTTTGTTTTCCCTCTCCAACTACAAAAATGAATTTGTTTCTTCTTTTCTAGTTCCTTCCATTTCCAGATCTGGGTATGGGTGGGACTTGGGCCTCAAATGAGCTGTTAGGGATACCGAGTTAAACAACTTATGAGTGTTGATTGATATTCTTGATAAAACTTTCCTAGACCCTGATAACTTTGATAGCCGAATTTTGGACCCCTTTGCCCTCTAGTATGTTCTCTCGTACCTTTTTTTTTTTTCAGATCCTTAACTCAACCTACTAATAGTGGTGGACATTCTTTCCCTGTGAAAGAGGTTTGAAATAGGCCTATTCCTCCTAGGGTTGGGAGTCTATGCTGGGAAGTCTTCTTTGAAAGAATCAATTCATGTGACTTGCTTCAAAGAAAGAGACCTAACAACTGCTTATCCTCTCATTGGTGCATTCTCTGTAAGGCTGATGGTGAGACCAGTTGTGACTGATTAGTCTCTTGCACTTTTACTGAAAGTATTTGGCTCTGGTTTCTTTCTTGGTTTGGGTGCAGGTGGTTCCCTCCATCGAATGTGCAAAGCTTATTTGCCTCTACAGCTTTTAGTTGGCCAAAGAAGAGAGGTCAGGTAATGTAGATATGTGTAAGGGCTGCAATAATTTGGACCATTTGGGAAGAAAGGAACTCAAGGCTATTTTCAGATAAAGAGAGAAGCAGAGAAGCTGTCATTGAGGTGCGCAACTAATGGGTTTGTAAAACCGAGTTTTGATGGGAGTAGTGTTGGAAACCCAGGGCAATTGGGTAATTGGTAGAGTTTTTCGGGATGAGGAAAGAAATATAATCGCTCTGTTCTCAGGTCCAATTTGGGTGCGCAATTCATTGAAGGAACTGAACATTAGAAAGTTGTGGAAGGGGCTAAGAGAGCAAAGGAACTGAACATTAGAAAGTTGATTATCGAGGGAGACTCAAAGCTGGTGGTGGACTGGATAAAGAAGAAAACCAATGGTTTTTGGAACTACAACAACGAAAGGAAGCAGTTCAAATGGCTAACAAAAGACATTGAAGTCAAGGTGTCTTGGGTCAGAAGAAGTTCCAACTTCTTTGCTGATGGGCTAGCAAAGCAAGGGGTGAATAGAACCTCCTTTTTTTGGGCTCAATTGTAATCATTTCTTCTCATTGTTGTGGCTTTGGTTAGTTCCATGAGGGTGGTATAAGAAAGTTTATCCCCCTCTGCATTGTACTTGGCTCTTTCTTCTAATAAAGTTTACTCGTTATGATAAAAAAAAAGGTATGCAAATTCCTTAACTATTTCAGACTTAATTCTCAAACACCCCAACCATCAAAATGTTCACCAAACAGCCAACATCATTGTTATGATTACTTATGCACAGTCACTGACACCATTCCATCAGAACTGGTCGCTTTTAGGAGAAATGATCAGATTGTCCAAGTTCTTTAATTTATGGTTTAATGGCAAGGGTGACAAGCATGAAAAAACTGGTTTAAGTCTGAGAGTAGCCAGGGTGACGAGCATGAAAAAACTGGTTTAAGTCTGAGAGTGGCCACTTTGTGCAAGAAAATGCTAAAGATTATGTCCATATCCAGTCCACCCCTCCAAAGAACCCAGATAGCTGGGACCAACATTGGGTAATGGCCTTTTTTCGGAGCCATTGATTGGTGTAGTCAAGGTTCAAAATTTAGATACATACCGTATAATATCGGTAGCTCCCTGAAAGTCGAAACCTCAAATAAGGAGTGTTTTGAAATTTGGCCACTTTCAGGGGGCAGGCAAGCCTAAAATCGACCCCTTGAAACAATATTGAAAAAAAAACTAAAAAAAGTTATGAAGTATCGAA